ATGCCATGGCACTCTACCTAGGGGGATAGCTTGAGGCTTTTTCCAAAAAAAAAAAAAAAAAAAATACCCACACTGAGAAAGGGATAAAAAGGTAAATACCTTTTGTCACCATTGAAGTGACAGCTGAAAGAAATGCTATAAATTTCAGAAATACTTTTGCCAAAATGGGTCAAAACTTTTAACATTAGAAAAGAGTAAGTTTCAGTTATCAGTAAAATTCATTTTACTCACTGCCTCACAGCAGATGAGATTACTATACATATAACAAACACCACTACACCAAAGTCTGACAGTTGTTATAGTACCTGCTTTTGATCCCAAAGGAACAGATGAGTTTTTCTGAAGAGGCTTTTTTGGATATCTAGGTGTCTCCACAGGATAATCTGTGAAGTATGCTTCATCAAAATAAGAAATAAAGACAACTGTACTAATTATGTTAAAGCTGATAATGGTATGCTATTGTTTAAAAAGCTGTGCTTGAAGTGGTAAAATATTGGAATGGCAAGACCCCTTCTTGTCAGTAGGTCAAGTCATGACAGGTATCTTAAATCATTAATATACCAGTTATAATAATATGATGGAAAGGAAAAAAAGAGTATGTCCTTTCTTCACAATGTCATTCTGGAGAGTCAACCAATAAACCAATAAAACAGACAATGAAAGGAAAGGAATAAAAGCCAATCTTGAAAATGATCCTAAAGAAGACAATTAATACAAAACTAAATAGAGTAGTATCTCACTCCCATGTTGATGGGGAGAATACCAACACTGGAGAGCTGATGAAACAACTGTGATGTGTTTAAATGTTATACAATAGATGATATTTTACTCATGACAGTTTATCTTAGAAAACATTAAATTTCTAAGATCTAAGAGAGGTTATTTTTTGTAACCTCATAAATGCGAGTTGTTCTTAACTCAGAGACAAAAGCAGTAAAATTACTTTCACAAATCACATCTCTCTTTTATTTGTATCTTTTACACAAGGTTTACATGTGGAATACTAAGAAAGCCAAATGCCCTAATTAATATTAAATTTACACTTGAGAGGGTAGCTATACTCATATTACTGCATTGAAAATAAAAATTACCCTACTACTGGAAAATGTGAGAGTAGGGGTATGGAATCACTAGGTTTTAACTTATAATGAAGAATAAGATTTTAACAGTGGTATGTTTCTGTTAAATGCATGGAACAAAAAGGTACCAATTCTTTCTAATTACAGGTAAAAGATTTTCTCTCCCCTGCTTTTATATTTTCACTTACTTTCCAGGTTTTCTTCAATAATTTCTTCAATTATCACATCAGGGCTAGATCCCATTTGAGGAAACACAGCAATGGTTTTAGGGGATGCCATTGCAACAACTTCTTTTTGTGGCTGGAAGTTTTTTGCTTCTAAGTGAACATCACTGGTTTCCTGTTGCAAAGGAGGTGGTGGTGTCTCATTGGTTGAAACAGACATGTCAGCCTTTTTTTGTTCTAGTGATGGGCATGTATCATAACAAGAGAGTTCTTTTTTATTATATTTCTTTTGAACATCCTGTCCAATCTCATTTTCTTGAGGATAACATCTGTTTATGAATACAGAGATATATGGCTATAAGCATAGAAGTATATGGTGCAATCCCTAAGCAAATCACTCTAAACTTTTGCTGAGTCTTATAATTACCATTAATCTGAATCCTTTGGGTATGATTATTCAATAGCCACCAACCCACAGCTAATTATACATGCATTCTACTCCATATTTTTCTATTTTTTCCATACATCCAGACAGTTTTGGGCTGTCAAATCTAAGTACAGAAATTTTACACAATGAGACCAGACTGAGCAAGAGTGAGACCCTATATCTACTAAAAAAAAAAAAAAAATTAGCCAGCTATTGTGGTGGGCAGCTACAGTCCCAGCTACTTGGGAGGCTGAGGTAGGATGATAGCTCGAATCCAGGGGAACTAGAAGTTGCTGTGAGCAACTGATGCCATATCACTCTAGCTGGTTTTGGAAACTCTTGTCTCAAAAAAAGAAAAAGAAAAAAAGAAAGTCTCATTCTGTTGCCTAGGCTAGAGTGCTGTGGCTGGTCTTAAACTCCTGAGTTCTAGGAATTCTCCTACCTTGACCTCCCAGAGTGCTAGGATTACAGGTGTGAGCCACTGCATGTGGCTTAAATTTCTGTTTTTTATAGATCACCTGGTCTAGGATTTGTTTGAGCAACACAAATGGATAAAGACAAGGAACACTAGCCACACATGCCTACTAAGAACTTGAAATGTGGCTAGGGCAACTGAGGAACTGAATTTTAATTTTATTTGGTTTTAGTTTCTGCCCAAATTTAAATAGCCACACGTGGATAGGGGTTACCATACTGAACAGCATGAATCTAGAAAATAAAGTTCCGACACCATCAGACAGCATATGAAGTCTTTAGGACTTAGTTTATGTATCCTCAGGGACATACAGAATGGAACTATACATGCAGTCCCCTGAACGTAGCATGCTGTTTGACAGCCTATATATTTCTTTATGTCTACTTTCCTTTTGTTCTCCTTTCCACTTGCTACTCATTTTTCATAAAATCTCTCTCCAAGTACCCTGTTATCCCAGGAAGAACTGATTGTTCCCTTCTCTTGCACTTTCACTAAATTCTGTACATAGAAATTATACATTTTTCTACATGTGATCTTAGCCAAAAGGCCAAGTGACTATTATTGTTTACACATCTTCCTCTTATTATATTTCTGACATATGTGTCAATATCTAGGGTGTCAGTTCCTACCAATGATCAATGCTTGCTGACCCTTCTAGACCATTTAAAAAATATTACAGAATTTATAGAAGCTGTTTGCCATTTACATTATTTTCATCAATTTTTTTACATCAACTTTTCTGTCTCCATCAGATACTAATGGTATGTTACCATTATACTTACTTTGAGTCCACAAATTCAATCTTTCCCATATTGTTGAACATACAGATGATCTCACTGCAATTCATATTCAACCTAAAATAAAAAATTAGTATACAAGTTCCAACATAAGTTTCTCATTTTCTCTAAACAAAAATTCAGTTGATGACAGTAAAATAGTTAATTGAAAAGAAAACATTTAAGTAACTTTCCAGTTTATCATAAATCACACTTACCTTAATTTGCTTGCTAACTTAGGAAACATCTGTGACCCAAATTTTCAATCTGCAATTGCTTGCTCTTTTAATAAATTTAGGGTCTAACACATCTTTATGGTCTCCTGAATTATGGCCTACTCACCTGGGAGAGCTCCTTAGTTTTAGAGAGTTAACTTGTGACAATTCACTATCTAATGTTAACTTCAACGTCCGGATAATCTAAAATCAAAAAAGTAGTGTTATTTCATGTGATTTTGATTTTGTCACAAATATTGGGGAAACAGTAAGATTTCAGAAGGAAAATTATACTTTTTAGGTATTTCACTAATTTTTAATACATTCAAGGTTTGGCTCGGTGCCCAGAGCCCAGTGGTTAGGACGCCAGCCATATACACTGAGGCAGGCAGGTTCAAACCCGGCCAGGGCCAGCTAAACAACAATGACAACTGCAACAAAAAAATAGCTGGGCATTGTGGCAGACACCTGTAGTCCCAGCTACTTGGGAGGCTGAGGCAAGAGAATCACTTAAGCCCAAGAGTGTGAAGTTGCTGTGAGCTGTGACGTCACAGCACTCTACTAAGGGTGACATAATGAGACTCTGCCTCAAAAAAAAAAAAAAAATACATTAAAGGCTTGATTTTGGGCACCCAAAGCATAGGATGCAAGTAAGTACTTATGACTATTTTCCCTAAAGTAGTTTAAAATATTTTGGAAATAACGTATTAAAAGATAACAAGCCTGGGCCACGCTTGGTGGCTCATGCCTATAATCCTAGCACTCTGGGAGGTTGAGATGGGTATATTGCTTAAGCTCAGGGTTTAAGACCAGCCTGAGCAAGAGTGAGACCCCATCTCTACTAAAAATAGAAAAATTAGCTGGGTGTTGTGGGAAGTGTCTGTAGCCCCAGCTACATGGGAGACTGAGGTCTGAGGATCCCTTGAGCTGAAAAGTTTGAGGTTGCTTTGAGCTATGACGCCATGGTGTGGGGGTAAGAGGCTAGGTATGGTGCCTCATGCCTGTAATCCTAGCACTCTGGGAGGCTGAGATGGGAGAACACCTGAGGCCAGGGATTCTAGACCAGCCTCAGCAACATAGTAAGAGTTCGTATCTACAAAAAATAAATAATAGCCAGGCATTGTAGTGTGCTCCTGTAAGTCCCAGCTACTCAGGAGGCAGAGGCAAGAGGATCACTTGAGTTTAAGAGTTTCATGTTGTAGTGAGCTATGATGATGCACTCTAGCCTAGGCATCAAGAGCAAGGCCCTGTCTTGAGAGAAAAAAAAAAAAAAAAGATGACAAAACACACTAGCGACCAGGTGCAATGGCTCACTCCTGTCTTCCAAGCATTCTGGGAGGCCAAAGAGGATGGGTTGCCTGAGCTTAGGGGTTCTAGACCAAATTGAGGCAGAGTGAGAGCCTGTCTCTAAAAAATAGTCAGGCACTGTGGTGGGCACCTATAGTCTCAGCTGCCAGAGAGGCTAAGGCAAGAAAATTGCTTTGAGCCCAAGAGTTTTAGGTTGTTGTGAGCTATGATGCCATGACACTCTACTGAGGGTGACAAAGTGAGATTCTGTCACAAAACAAAACAAAAAAACTTTAAAAGACCCTAGCTAACAGAAGGTACAGAGAGCTACAGAAAAAGAGAAAATTCTCATCAGATCCATTCCACACCTGTGTTGCTGTCTTCAAATGTTTTCTCTTTTGCTCTATTTTCCTAACTCAACTAAGCAGAATGAAGACCAAATTTTATGACTTTTTCTCCTCTAGTGCCTCATGTGTAATACACAGAAAACGACTCTCATTTTTTTTTACAGACAGAATCTCACTTTATTACCCTCGTGAGAGTGCCGTGGCATCACACAGCACACAGCAACCTCCAACTCCTGGGCTTAGGTGATTCTCTTGCCTCAGCCTCCCAAGTAGCTGGGACTACAGGCATCTGCCACAACGCCCAGCTATTTTTTGTTGCAGTTTGGTGGGGCTGGGTTTGAACCTTCCACCCTCGGTATATGGGGCCAGCGCCCTCCTCACTGAGCCACAGGCCCTGCCGGACTATCATTGTTTTTAAAACTATAGTTCAGGGAGGCCCGGCCAATTCCCTTTCTTTCATTTAATGTTAGAGACTTTTGGAGCAAAGTAAACCAATGGCTTCTATACTTCAGTACGAGTATTTGAATACCTATGGGAAATGAGATCCTGAGGGGTCAAAGATGACTAAAGCAAGATCTGCCCTTACAGAGTGAGGCAGAAATCAGCAAAGAGGACATGTGATTAACCCTGTCCAGTCAAACTATCTTACAAGAAACATACTTGTACCAATTCTCTCCCTTAGACACATGATTAAATGATAGGAGACAGCTGAACCAACTTGTCTCTTAACTTGCACTGAAAAAGGGGTAGGAAGAGAAAAACTTGAATGTGACCTCAAATTACATTGTTAAGTCAAGAGTTGACAGTTACTAAATTGTTTATGAGAAGAAAACAGTCTCATCTAGTTTCTCATTGTTATTTGGACTCATTTTTTAACCAGGTATCCTAGAAACCTCAAATTTCACCTCAGGGTCACCTGTTACAAAGATTTTATTATACTATTTCCCTAAGAGGTAAAAAATAGAAGGTCATACACATTTTATAACGTTTGTCTTAGATTCCAAACACCTAAGAATTTTAAACTGATGACAGTACAGTTTAGGGTAATCTGAAAAACAAATTCTTCTTAATTTTTAAAAATCATTCTAAAGCACATAAAATAAGCTTTAGAGACATTCACACTGTAAAGTATTAAATTACCTGGTTAAGGTCACAATATGGTCTTAGAGAAGGTGCTGATTTTAACTCTCTTGCTATCTTCATAGCTGCATCCAAATCATTCTTTTTCTCTTCAATGTAGCTTTTAGTCATTGTTAAATTTGATAGATAATCATCTGTATTTCTTACAAGTTCTTCGCACAGGTTCTTTTTCCTTTATTTAAGATCTCAAAGTTACTGTGCAGTGTTTCATAAATGTTTATATATAAATTTATAAGTAACAGTATCTTTTACTAGTTGATGAACTTAACATATAAAAAGAAAAATGAGGTATTTAATTGAACTGAAATGTATTATACTTAAAAGCTATGTATACATAATTAGAGAAAAAGCAAACTTTGTAGAAGGCAAGAGATTATAGGCAGAGACATACAATAAACCATCTAAAACATGGAGGAGAAATTAAGACATATAAAAGAAGCTGTTTATACTGGTGAATTGAAAAAGCCACAATCAGGCCCAGGCAGAATTCATGCTCAGAAAACACTTGAGAAAACCTTAGGCTTCACCTTAGGCTGATAAACGTAGTTTCCAGTTGTTTCAGAGTTACTATTAAAAACAGGCCAAATTCTATACCTCCTACTATACCATACTATACACTCTATTGACTCCATATGAATATTTAAATACACTAACTATAAGCAAATCAAGACAAAGACAATTAGTTTTGAGACCAGAAGGCAAATAGCCAAACAAAGGTACAAAATTTTTTCATTTTGACGTTCTAAAAACAAAGGAACAAAATGACGTTAATGTTAAAAACTCTTCCTTATGTCTATACTTTTTAGTCATTACCTGGAATCAAGACAAGCAAAAAGTTGGTCAAATTTTTTCTCCACAACCCCTATAACACTTTCTGTCTCCTTTCTTGTTTGATTCTGTGTATGTTCAAGCATCTGGGAAAAATACAAAGATTTTATTTGGAATTTTTGTTTTGTAGAAGTTGTAGAATTTTCAAAGTAAAAGGTACTTTCTAGACTTTTCAAAATAATAACATGAGGTAACTAAAATGATAATAGAATAAGCTGTAAGGTTCAACTTTAAATCCTGATACTTTTCAGCAAGATCACAACTTGGTGTTCTTTACTGATAATGTGCTTATAAAATCCACTGATAAGTTTTCTAAACTTTTTTCTTATCCCCTTTTTTCACTACAGTAAACAAGTCATTTTAGACAGTTCAATTTCTCTTTTGCAGGATTCTCTAGATTTAAAAAAAAACATAACTGAGAAATCATACTTGAATTAAAATGTTAACTATTCCACATATCTCTCTGTATTTTTAAACAGCTTTAAGTACTGCTGCTTAGGATCCATGACCCCTTTTTTTCCTTCTAATTTCTCCCTTCTACAATGGGAATACCTATCCCATACCTGTTTCATCAACATATTTAAGAAGCAAATAAGCTGTCTGGCTTCACAGGCTCACAGCTGAGGGGAACTGTGCAGGAGGATGAATCATATTTTGGGTCACCCCTATACCTGACTTAGAAGATATTGATATTTAGATAAAAATTTATACTCAGAATTGATCTGGAATGGGTTAAGATTTGGGGAAATGCTGAGAAGTGGCAAATGTATTTTGCACTAAGAAGGATATAAATGTTAAGGGGCCAGAGGGTGGTCTGTTTTGGGTTATATTATATACCCCCTTCCCAATTCAGACAATGTTAAGCCCTAACACCCAATTAGTTTACCACTGATTTGTTTTTCTCCACTATATCTAGTACTTATGGCTAGCTATTTATCACCACAGATAGCATTCTTTTTCTCCTTTTCTCAAAAAAGTTTTTTTTCTCTCATAATTCTATTTTGTTATTTTTGTCAAATTTCATTATAAAATGACATTTGATGGGGACTTTTAGCCAACCAAAAATGTTCTGTCCTTCTATGCAAAAACAAAACAAAATACAACAAAATCAGCTACAGCAAAACAGCTATAACCTTTTGAACTACTTTACTGTAAATTTGTTGTTGCTGGGCACTGAGAAGCTTGTTTCTTGTTACCAAATTAGTGAGTCTCTCTTTGGGGTTGAGGGTGGGGCACCACGTAAAGCAGGGATAAGAGAGAGAAAGGCTCTCTCAGTTGGGGGATATAGCCAAATAATGAACAAACGTTGGAAAGATGAACTGCAACAAAATTTAGCTCATAGCAAGCAAGAGTCTATGCTTCCTTAATGAAGTTCCAATTTCCCTAGGTTCTTAGTACAGCAATGCTATAAGACCAATCTTGTAGGCCATGGCAAAAGTTTTCTCTTCTTTTCATATCTCTATTATTAGAGTATCATGCTTAGTGCTAAGTTCTAACTTCAACGGTAATACATCCAAAGGTATATATTTAAAGAGGACATGCTGTACTTCATTTTAGAATTTAATCATTCAAAATGCTTACTTTTACAGCAATACTTAATTGTTCAAAATTATAGCCTGCTATCTTCAATGCTTCATCAATTTCTTCAGCAGTTTTAATCTCCTTAGGAGGGAGAGGAACCACATATAAATATAAAACATAAAAATAGATGCTTAGATACATTATACTATAGTTACAAAAAGTTTAAGCTATCATTTTGGCCCCAAAGCAACACAGACACACTACAGAAAACTGAAAGCAAGTAACAAAAATAACACTTATACTGCTTACCCCCAAACAAAAAACATTCACATTTTAGAACTCTGATTATAGTAGTCTAGATTTTTTCATAAAGACATCTTTTAAAAAAGAAAAATACCACACAGTATTATACCCTGTAACCATTTTTCAACTTAAAACTATTGGACAATTTATTATTGCAATAAGATGGGTGGAGGGTGAGTAATTGGTGGGACCATACCTACGGTGCATCTTACAAGGGTACATGTAAAATTTACTAGGTGTAGAATATAAATGTCTTAAAGAAAATGCCGGCTCGGCGCCT